TTGGCTGTGATCATTTTTACTGACACTGGTTCCCAGTATCCTGTGGTTGCTCACATTTGAAATTTACTTCTTGGGTGCTGTAGCTCTCATATGGTTTGGGGAATGGCAGATGGAAGTTGCAGACAAGCTTCCTGTGGTTGGCTTGGAGGGTAGAAAATGTTGCAAGCATCATGGAAATATGTCTGTGGGCAGGAGACAGAGACCCCAACATGCCAGAGCAAGTGAGTGGAGAGCTCTCATTTTTCACATGTAAATTTGTCTGCCCTCTTTCTACTGTGCTTTGTGCTGCCTAGTGCTCATCCCTGTACTCTTTATTAATTACACTTGGCAAATATGTGCACAGGGCTACTGATGAGTTGTGTTAATCTCTGTGCTGATGCAGCAGGATCACTCAGAGAAGAGATGTCTCGTGAAGGGAACCAGAGCTGGCCTTTCAGATGTCTGTCTGACACCTACTTTGGCTGCTGTGCTCTTCCCTCTTGTGTCTCTAATATCAATGTCCCCTTTCACAGGAGTGTAGTGTCTCCACACAGCCTTTGGTGTGGTGCTTTTCACTTGTTCTGAAGTTCATTGTCAACCTGCTGGAGGAACAGCAGTGCCTTTGCACTCTTAATTTGTGGGAAACAGACATTATATATTCCACTCTGGGGTATATGCAAAGCACTTTGCCAGTTTAGAATTGGCGAGATCTGGAGCTTGGTTTAATGAACTGAAGTAATTTTCCTTCGTAGTAAAATTTTATTGGCATGGAAGATTGTTGCACCACCAAACACTCTGAAAAGCTTCTGAGTACTTTTGTGATTTGTGGCCTTGGAGATTCTTGATAATTGCCTGAACAATAGGGATCCCTTCAGGAATGTGTTTTTGAGATGGAACGAAATGTGGGCTAATGTTCCTAGTAGTAATTTTTCTGCTTTCATACCAGCCAAGGCTGGTAAGACCCAAGGCTGCTGAATTGGGCAGTTTTGGACATTTGCTGGCCTTATTTTAGAGAAGTGGTCCATCATATTAAATCTGTATTTAGTGGTTTGGTATGCTATAGAGCATTGTGTCAGGATTCCTCAGTGCCAGAGGCTCTTAATCTGTAGTGAAGTATAGACCATTGAAGGTAAATGATTGACAGGTGTTGGCATTTTTTTATATAAGCCTTAAAGCAGGGTATTTAGTAGACAGTGAAAACAACTCCAACCTATATGCAAAGTGGAGATGCATGTGTGAAAAATAAAGCACATAAGAAAATTCTTGTAGAACTGGAACATCACTTCTTTCCAAAGAAAATATATTTTTTCTGATTATCCTTTCTCCATTCCCATTTCTGTCTACAAAACCAAAACAATTTGTTAAATTATTCAGGTCATTAAGTTTCATGTAAACTCAGCTTGAAATTGCATTTTCTGGAGGGATTGTATTGCCTTAAGGGAGCTGTAATTCAGCCTCTCTATTTCCCCACTCTGTCATGCAGACCATTTTTTTTTTCATTCTCAACCAGCTGAGCTGCTTGGTGTCCCAAGGGAGACCTGCCCTGGGGTGTCCTAGGAAGCACAGTGCAGTGTGTGGAGCCTAGCCTGCAGGAGATGAGGAAATTTCATGAGCTGTATTTCCTGAAGTGAGAAGTATGATCCCATAGCAAAATGCAGTTTAACATTGAGCTGACTTGGAATTAATTTTGGAAAGATTGGTTTGATGAATAGAAACAGTTTGATTTGGCACTATAAAGGCATTTTCTTTATTTTGATTAAATAATGCCTAGGTGTAAATTTTTGCTGTTTCTAAATTGCTTGGAACTTAATAAATTTGTATTTCTTTTCCCCAGAGAAAAATATTTTAATTTATGTTGCAGAGCAGGCATTTTCTATGGGGGGGGGGCAATTACAGATTTCTCTCAGTTCACGGGAAGAAAATGTTTTTGTTTTGAAATAGTGCCTTAATTAAAAAATCTCCCATTTTCAGTAGAATTCAGCTTTTAAAATGACAACCATCAAGATTTTCATGCAAAATTATACTGGCATGGAAAAAAATAAGTAATTTTTTAGTGTTCGCAAAAACAAGCTGAGCTTCTTCAACTACAAAGCAGAAATTGGAATCAAATGTCTCAGCCTGAGTCAAGGAGGGTTTTTTCCCTTTTTAATTTTTCTTTTTCCTGTCAGAATTCAGTTTTGGAAAATGTGTCCAATTTTCCCTCTATTTTGTTCCATTCATTTTCAACTAAAGCATTCAAACAACACAATGTCAGAAAATCTGGTACTTTCCCACATCTGCCTCTGCCTCATGTTTCTTCTCATCATGGCTGGGGCAGCCTGAAGGTGCCTCAGAATATCCTCTTGGAAGGGTTGGATGTTTCCTCTGCAGAGCTGTGTCAAACACAGCCCATGAAACAGCTCGGGACCCAGCCCTGCCTCTCAGGCTCCTGTCTGTGTCTCAACCCCATGGTGTTTCCTGAGCTTCCTCTGTGGCAGTGTGTAGGGGGAAAGTGCTTTTGCAGCTTTTCTTGGGAAGGTTGTGTGTTCAGACTCAGATCTTCTCTGGTTTTCAGACTCCCAAACCATTGCAAGATTTGTCTTTATTGAATCTGGGGTGTTTTTTTCATAAAAGCAAGCGGGAGCAGAGTGGAAGCTGCCTGGGTTAGTGATGTGGGAATGTTGCCTGTCCTGGGCTCCTGTGGTGAGAGATTTTAGGGACAGGTTGATATAGGTGTTAACCACTGCCTCAGGAAATGCCTGTCATTTCCTGGGACTGTGTGTAAGACACTGCTCAAGGGATGCTTGTGCTTTCCATGCATCACCAAGTAGAGATCTATGTTAGTCAGTCATCCCGGGCAAAAATCCAGAAAAGTCATGCTTTTACTATGAATTTATACCCAGAAGCTGAGTAGCATTCAGCCCACTTCTGTAAAGCTGTTGTTATCCTGGGATTTGCAGGGTGGTAATAGATAAGCCATGTCTTCAAAAATGTAGGGCATAGGAGATGTGAAGAGAGACACAAAAAGAGATGGGAGAGTATGGATGCTGCCTTTAGTTGTAATTGCAATTTAGGGTAGAAATAAGGTAGAATCTGTTGCAATTTGACCAAGACACTGAGATTTTATTTACAATGTTTAGGAATGAATCCGGGATCCACTGAACTCAGCTGCCTTCAATGTGCTTAGACTTTGAAACTCGAATACTTTGGGAAACCTCACCACAGCTGTGAGCAATTTCAGGGTGCAATTTCAGGCGGGGCAGGGCTTGTGCTATAGTGCATGGCTTCCTAGAGTCTTGAGAGGAATGCTGGCTGAGTGCCCGTGGGATTATAGGGAACAACCTAAAAATGTCATTCTCACTGGGTTTTAGCTGGGAGAAGGTTGCCCTGCTGGGTGTAAGGCACACAAACCATACAAACCTTGGTTGCTGCAGCTTGCAGCTGGCTCTTCCCCCTTCGTATGGGAAGGTGTGTGCAGGGTTTAGGCTGCGCTAAAAAGGATGCTAGCCTTAGCCTTATTTCCCCATAGCACAGCACTGGTTTCAGCTGACATGGACTTGCATATGCTGACTCAAATCTGCCTGGCAGGTTTCTTTTCACACCCTGCTGGAAGCAGCTTGGCTATTATCTTTTTCCTAAAGGTCTCTGTGTGGGGAAATAAAGGGAAAAATGCAATAGGGATGGTAAAAGTGAATCCAGGAGAGTGAAGGATGCTTGGAACATCTATTCTAAAGTCATTAAGATGGGCACTGACTGCATAGTCACGTACCAAGGTCCCTTACAATTTGAACAGGTTTTTTCCTGGTATTATGATGACAGTAAACGAGTGCTGCAGCAGCTGTGATATTGATTAATCCTTTGGCATTTTTCTGCAAAGCTTTAAACTTTGCTCTCTCTCACAGCTGGAGCAGATGTGAGGGAAACTGGCCTGTGCTTGAATCCTGCAAGGAGGAAATGATGCTGAAATGTTAAAATGATGCAAAACAAAAATGAAGAGGTGCCCTGGAGCTCTTCCTTGAGGCTGGTCCTGTAGAATCCAAGGGAATGAGCTGTATGACATTAGTTATGCTAAAAAGGCAAGGAGCAGATTCTCAAATGCTCTTACCTTCCCTCTATTCCCTCATCCCACGTGAGCCTGGGAGCTTGCACAGAGGCTCCCAAGCTATCAGAATGCATAACTGCCTTTCTGGAGAGAAGGACATTGGGCAATGTAGCTTAGGAGGATTACATTTATCTGTGAAATCTGAGGTCACAGCACCAGGTAGATCAGAGGCAAAGTATATTTCTCTGTGGTCTCCCGTGTACTGCTTAACTCCCTCTCCCCCAGCCTCATTTTTGCAGGGGCATGACTCAGGAGTGTTTTCTCCAGAAAGTCAGGGTGTCCTGGGGCCTCTGACTGTCCTTGAGCACTAAAGATCCATGTGAAGGTCTGTCTCACTCAGTGCATAAGCAGAATGTCACACTCCATGTTCCTCTTAGCCCTGTGGGAAGGCGATGGCATGCAGGAATTCCCATGCTCTGGAGCCAGTGACAGCAGATGGAGAAAACAAAGCTGACTCTAGGCAAGATGGACTGTTTTGGTGGATGGGGATCTACATAAAAAAACTTGTCAGTTCTTTCTATGAAGACTGAATAATTAATGATAGAATGTTGAGAGACAAAAGAAATTGACTGTAATTTTAGATTGAACTATTGAATTAACAAGGGTACATTTGATTCCATCCCTGAATTTGAATAATCATAGTTGCAGAGAGGTCAGCTCACAAAGTCTGATTCATTCCTGGTGGCATGTTTTATTTCAAATGCAAAACATTTTGGGATTAAAGTAAATGTTACTGGTTATACAATTCACTAAGCTAATGATTTCCCATTTTATTTTTTAAACCTACTTTATCCTATAATACTGCAACTTTAATGGATAAATGCTCAGCTCTCCATTAGGTGGTTTCAGATGCCCTGTGTATTGTTACAAAATCTAACATCAATCTTTTTTTTCTCCTCTTTTCTCTTTCTCTCTCACTCCCTCCCTTTCCCCTCTCTAGGTGATTCTCATTCTGACAAAGCTCTACGACTTCAACTTGGGGAGTGTTACGGAGAGCTCACTGTGGAGGTACGTGGAACGTGGAATTGACAGCAACTGGCATGGAGGGCTGCACTGTGTCTGGGGGCTGACCCGGGCTGTGGGCAGGGGGAGTGCCTGAGTTCATCACAGGAGAAGCTGGGAAAGAATCCTGGACAAATGGAGCTGCTCTTTGGAAAAGGGATGCAAGATTAGGACACATTCCTTTAATGAGGTGGGGTCTGCAAACAGGAGGGTTTCATCATGTAATGGCACTTCCCTGACACGCAGAGGAGCTTGGTTTCCCTCTCACCTTTGAGTGTCCTTAAACAAGTCCCTTCCTTCCTCTCTCTACTGTGAGGCTGGCAATGAGAACAGGCTCTGTAGATGGGTACACACTTGCTAGAACTGTGTCTGAGAAGGAATTAAATACAGTATATAATATAATCTTAGCTGATCCCAACCTTGTTCCTCACCCCTGTGAGCTAAGATTGCCATCTTGGTAGTGACTGTGTGTTGGGCTGTAAGGAGAGTAGTTGCTGAAGGGCTGGAGATGCCACAGTGTCTTCTCCACTGTGGATATACTTGGATGGGGTCACACAGCTGCCATATTCCTAGTCTGACATGGGAGATGGACTGTCCTGCCCTGGAGAAATATGATTCTGGACAGAGTGTGTGTTTGGAAGTGTGTGTCTGCATTTAAAATAAAGAAATAACCTAAAATCTCCTCAGTCCCCAAACTCAGCCCTATAAACAGGTCAGTTTCTTCATATTTGAAATCACCAAATTGTTTCATCCTGCCTGTGGAGTGGTATGCCTTTATCAGAATTGCTATCAGGTGGTTTTTTGGTTTTTACCTTTCTATGGTTAAAAAAGAAAAAAAAGAAAAAAAAGGCAGCCAAGGGCTGGTGAGACCAAGTGCTTTGTTTTAGATTTACCTGGTGTATTATAGCTATTGTGAAACCTGCTCAAAGTGTAGTTGGTGGAATGGTCAGTGCACTGTAGCCATTGCTTGGGTGTGAGCCCTTCCTGGCAGATGGTCTCTTGTACTTCTTTCTTCACAGATGATTTAAAAGCCCATGTTTGGAGTAGGCTTTGGCCATTTGCTGAAGGTTTATTCCTGTAAATGTATTTAAGGGTTAATTGTTCAGTAGAGCTCTTGAAACTTCTCAATTTGAACAGTACTTAAGAAGCCTAATTGCACTGCACCATGGTAATCTGCAAAAGTATAAATAACCATGCAGCTAATAAGAGAGAACAGTCATTTCCACTTACCCTGGTACTTTTCAAGGTATTAATGCCTTAAAAAAACTTTTGCCTCTTTACATAGCGAGTACAAATGCCACAGTGATTGTACTTTAAAAGTAATTGCCAAACAATCTGCCCTGCATAAATAATGTAACGAACAGGCAAACCTTGTCTTAATCCTGAGCTTGCAGCATCACCTGAGCTCTGCAGAAAGGTAATAGCAGCACCCCTTTTGGAGGCTTCCCAAAGTGATAGAAATGTAATTAATCATCAATACAATTGAAAGCATCCAGCATTTGGTCAGCTGGGAAAACTCACTGCTTTGTGGGAGCGTGTTCTGGAACACTTTTGCAGTGTTCCAGTGAAATAGGGATCAGTGAGGGACCTGGAGATTCAGAGAAGTTAGAACTTCTCATGTTCTTTTCCTAGGTCTGTCAGGAAAGCTCAGGGTAAGTGCTAGTAGGTAGATCTCCTGGGCTCTAAACCTTATTTTCTGCTGGAAAATTCAGGAATAAGCCATGTTTTACTTGACAGGGGAGTGTGGAATCTTGGAGAGCATCTATGAGTTCCTCTGTAAAGGACATTGTAGAAATGCAAATAGATACTAAGTGTAAGAAATAAGCCAGAGAAATACTCCTTTTCTTGGGATTTCCTGTTCTATTTGCACATTCAGACCTCTGAATCTTTTCATTATTTAAATTGGTGTTTTTCAATATTTTCTTTTAGTTTTTGAGACCCTGAAAATTTTAAAAGGAGGATTTGTCTTTGCAGAATGAATGTAAGCCTCCTGGAAAGCTTACATTCTTTAGTTAAAAGAATGTAAGCTTTCTTTAGTTACTTTTTGTAGACTCTTTGAGCCCCTAGATGGATCACAAACTGAATGCAACTTCAACTGTGTATCAAAAGATGATCTGTACATTTACAAGGGATTTTGTTTTTTTTCCTGTGTTCTGGAAATACGGCTAAGCCAGGAGCCCTGCCCATCTGAGCTGTGGTGCTGTATGATATCCATCCTGACCACCTGGCAGATACAGTTGCCTTCACAAGAGGGGAGTGTGGCTTTTGTGGCAGAGAGCAATGAATTACACAGGAGAGGATGCTGAGATGGAGCAGAGTGCAATGCAATCTCCAAATACCATCTTGCCTCCACGTGCTCCATGCACCAAAATCTCCTCCTCAGTTCCCCCTGGGTTTATAGCATGAGAGGCTTCTTTTAATGGAAAACTGAATTGCCATATAAAAAGAATTTCTAATCCCTACATCTAAATACAAAAACAAGTAAATCAATAAGAAAACATCCTGAATGTAATTAAAAAAATGGAGAGAGAGCAACAGAGGAAGAGAGGAGAATTAGAAGTTACATTTGAAAACTGCTCCTATATCAGGCTGGTATGAGCTTAGACAGGGGAAATTCTAGTCAGCATTTGAATGCAGGAACACAGACATTGCTCTAATATCCAAATTCATATTTCTGGGGCTCAAACAATCACAAAAAAGGTCTTTATTGCTACTGAAGCAGCCAGCCTTGAAGCAGCCAGCTTCAAGGAAAAAACACACACCCACACACCCCCTCTTCCTTGTGAATGCTACATCTCTTCTTTGTCACAGGAGATACCTGTCAGTTGTGGTTTAGATTTTTGTTTTTCCCACTGAGTTGAGTGGAGGTGATAATTTTCCTCCTATGAAAGGAAGCTACTTTATTACTACTTTACTATTTGTGATGGTGTGAGTTGTTTATGAATTTCTAGAGAGACGTCTTTTTCATAGGTCTACAAATATAACAGTAAAAATTACTTAAGCTTTTAGATATGCAAACCCTTCATCAGTTCTCATTGCCTAGTGAATTATCTAACTGTGTAGTTATGAGTCCTGCCTGCTTTAAATAAAAAAATGAATTAAGGGATAATTAGGCCATTAATAATTAATTAAGGAATAAGGCCATAATCTTTCTGTAGAATATTTTCACCCCACTAACACCTCTTCTCCATCAACAAAAAGTTAAAAAAAAATTCCCTTTAAATCTGTAAACTTATGTGGTTTTGATTTGAAGTGCTGTTAGAGCACCTCTAATTCCCAGACTCTCTGTAGGCCAGGATCCCTGCATCAAACTTCATTGTCCATGAGGAACTGTAAGCATGCAGGAGTGATCTGTATGAAATATGAACTCTCTCTCTAAAGAGTAGGTGCCAGGCTCTTCACAGGAATTGTTTAAGCTGTACAGTATTGAGAAAGGGTTGTGGGAACATTCTGGATAAGTATTTAAAGTTGATATTGCAGTATTTAAAATGTTTTCAACCGTTTCAACCAGTGTGTATTGAGCAGTATCTTTCTCCTAAGATAACTGGAATAAAAGGTTTTCCATTGTTGCCTGCTTTGGTACTCAGCAATGTATTAATTTATTTTATCTATTTGGATTGCAGTCGCTAAAAAGACAGCTTCCCTCTCAAGGGAGTTCTCAATCTCAGGTGAAGACAGAGAGCCAACAGGGTGACCCAGAAGACAGGAGAGGCACAAGTGAGCAAGGAGCTATTTATGATCAATGCCACAGCCATGACTGCATCACATCAGCTAATTGGGCAGTGGGGAACAGTTTAGATTTTCTTCCAAAGTGCAAGCACTTGCATGTGTCAGTTCTTAGTCCCTGCTACCATTTTACCCACCTCAGATAGGTCCCCTGGAGTTCCCCTCCTCTGGCTGTTTTCCTGGCTAAATTATCTGATTGTACATAATGCTGGCCCATGCATTAACCCAAAATTGTGACTATTTCTGTTTAAGAGGCTAAAATGCTGATGAAGAAATTTATATATCTATATATTTTTTTTTCTTTCTTGTTTATTAACCAAGAAATTATGTCTCCATGGCAGCAGTCAAAAATCCCCAAGCATTTTTTTTCACTCTTGCGGCTGCTGTGTCTAAAGAGGTTATTCTGTTGTCTCAGTCTTTGTTGAGTTAGAAAAAAAAACCCTTTCAGCTTTTTAATAGAGGCAGCTGCAAAATGCAGCAGCTGCAACCCTAGTTTGGAGCAGAGAGGAGTAAAACCCCCCAGCTTGGTTGCAGGCTGTCTCATATCATGCATTGCTGTTCATTCAGCTCTGTTTGAAATACTAGAGGGCTTCACATTGTTTCCTCCCATGGAATTGCCTCTTAAACCTCCCACAGTCCCCAGAGACCCTCAGCATGTGCCAGTGTACCTCTAGCATTGCAAAAATTTCCCAGCTCACGCTGATTTCTGTGTCCTAGGTTTGTGTGTGGCACGTAGAGCCGGCTTCATAGGGCTGCACTAGGTGGGAAAGGGTGAATGTGGTGTGATGTGAACCTTATCACTCTCTACAACTCCCTGAAAGGTGGTTATGGTCAGGTGGGGTTGGTCTCTTTCTCTAGGCAGCAACTGACAGAGCCAGAGGACACAGTCTTAAGCCAAGGGAAATGTAGGTTAGTTATTAGGAAAACATTTTTCATGGAAAGAGTGATAAAGTTCTGGAATGGTCTGTCCAGGGAGGTGGTGGAGTCACCATCCCTGCATGTGTTTACAAAAAGACTGGATGTGGCACTGGGTGCCATGGTTTAGTTGAGGTGCTCAGGCATGGGTTGAACTCAATGATCTTTAAGGTCTCTTCCAAGCTAGTGATTCTGTGAATTCTGTGAAGTGCCCTTTGGGAACTGAGGCTTAGTCTGGTTGCTCCAAATGTAGCAGCTTAGACTGGTGAGTAAAGAAGTCAGGGATCAGGAAATTCAAAAAGCATGACTCAGATTTCCATATCATCCTCCGTGAAACAAGCAAACCTGAAATAGGTCATGACAGA